TATATGCAAACAAACACACAGTAAGACACGATGCTTGTGTGAGCATGCAGGTGTGTCATATAAAGACCTGTCTTTGTTTGAAGATGACGAATGACTGAAAAAGCTGAGGAAATGAGATGTAAATGAACTCTAGCTACCTATTACCTTGAAATCATTCATACCAAAACTCCTGCAATGAATATGCACTTCAATTAACTCATAACAGCTTATTTTTAATATGAACGAGCCTTAATACAGTATGTTGCATTAACAACAAACAATTGTAGGAGTAGCGGAAAGTGGTCATGCAGAGAAGCATAAAACTATTCATTTTGGTTTACATGAATAATTGTACAGTCAGAAATGTACATGAATCAAAACTCTGCTAAAGTTGAAAGCCCCAGCTCACACAACAGCTATGAAATCTTCATTGGTGATTGATCAGTCTTCTCATAGATTATAATGCAAACATTTCTTTCCTCCAGTGAACACTTAACACTTCATTGACTTGCTGGACCTCAGTCAACATGAAAACGATAGCTGGTGTAAAGATAGCTCCTACTAATTATAGTTAAGGAAGGCTTACGTAGCAGTCCAGGGTGCACAGATGTATATCTGACACAGAGCAGGAATGCATCATTGCATGGATGTTAACTGAGTCATCGAGTGTCTTCTAATGTCGATTATGACAGACCCATCATCTGTACTCAGCAGATAGTGATGCATGATGTGCTGCAGATCTGATAGAGACTGACAGAAGGACTGAAACACCTCTTAGTCAACAGGAGATGCATTCAGACTCACACTTTATGGATTTGAGGAGTGAAATGTACCTATTTCTACTACCACATACATACAGAATTGCATATAGAATAATATTATTTTAAGAGGTTAGTGTATTCTGACACTTTCCTCCGATTTTGAAATTATTTCTATTGCATTGCAATGCAAAGTAAATCTGTAGGGTTTGACGGTACACTGCAAAAAAACAAGTTTTAAAAAATTACCTTTTAAATTATGAGATTCAAGCTGAACAAACAATGAAATAAAACTATTTTAATGTTAATTGTCATTTTTACCATGGCCAAAAATGTTGCTCTTTGTAACATCTTGTTGGTGTAACATACTTGTTTAGCGAGGAGAAAACAGTGTCAGCAAGAGTTTGAGATGAAATATGGCATGTTTATGCATGAAGAAAACTGAAAAATTAAGGTTAATATGACTTGAAGAGAGAATATTGTCTATTGTTTGCCACTGTAACTCTAATTTAGTTAAGTCATGCAAAAGTGTGATTTTCAATACTGTTATATTACTTGTGTTTAAAATGAGCCTTAGCAAAAATGTAAAAATTATCAAAATTAAATTTCCACTACCATTATCTCCACTCCAGAATGAATGGTGGAAATTGCATTGAAAGGCATGTTGGCACAAATACTTCTTCTGAATTATTCTGTGGTGTGTTTATGTCCTTTATGCATTGATGCCTATTATTAGTGGACAAATAAACTAGTGAGAGTATGAAAAGTGTGTTTTAATGGTGTTTCTAGAGCTCCACGGGGCCAAAAGTGCCCATAGCTGAAGAAACACCCGTTTATAATGCAGATGTGCTGATGCATGAAGGCAACATTGGAGTATCACATCTGAAATACAATAAAACAGTTGAGAATAATAATTATGTACCTGACTGATATGAACTGAAGAAATTCATCCGCACTATTTGTACACAGACAATTAAGAAAAGATTTTCGTATTTTCATATTTACTTCGCTACATTTAAGCCAGTTATAATTCACTCAGCCCATAATAACTTTTCGAATAGGACATACAGCAGCGTTGGAGACAATATCCATCACCTGAATAAACCACTGCACAACAGACCAGACATACCCACAGAACACATCTTGCATGCACGCACCACTCTTTCCTCGTTCATCCTCAATGATATGAAATAAATATTAAACCTCACATAAACTGAATCTTAATGAAGACATGTAATGTCTCTGGTGTTGTTACCGTGTGTGCGGCTGGCAGCTCTCGGGGTCCCGTCAGAGCAGCATTCACGCACTGGCGCGGCGGGACGAGCGCTTGCGCGGAGGCACTGAAGGCTCGCGGTGCGGTCAGTCTGGCGCAGGCAGAAGAGCTGAAATGCAGAGGCTGCAGTGCTGTGCGGCGTCCACATAAACACACCATCCCACAGCACACACAGCACTCGCTATAACGTCAGCGATCAATGATTAACCCGTGTAAAACAGCGACCCGTTGCCCCAAAAGCGCTGCCATAAAGATGACTGAACGACACCGGCCCGTGTCCGCTGCAGTGGAGTGGACTCGCACCTTCTTATGAAGATCATCCACTTCACATCCACTGAAGCACTGTACAGTCCAGATCTGACGGGGGGTTAACACGACAAATGGTTAAATTAAAGAGACACGCGGCGAGGTGGATGTGCAGGTGTGGGAACTATGCTGTAAGTTTGAGTTAACCAAATAATGTCATTTAAACATTAAATACCAGTAAATAAGGTGTTCTCTGAGTGATTTATCAGTAATGGCATATGCTTTCTGTTTTACAACATGCGTTTGTTCATCTGCTCAAGCAAGGCTATAGGTCACCATACTGTAACAACTATTAAAAACTGGGGCAGAAGGACACATAGAAGGACAGATATACAGACGGACGGACGGACAGACAGACAGACAGACAGACAGACAGACAGACAGACAGACAGACAGACAGATAGATAGAAGGAGACAGACAGACAGACAGATAGGCAGAAGGACAGATATAAAGACAGAAAGAAGGACAGATATACAGAAGGACAGACAGACAGACAGATAGGCAGAAGGACAGATATACAGACAGAAAGAAGGACAGATATACAGAAGGACAGACAGACAGATAGATAGATAGATAGGCAGAAGGACAGATAGAAGGACAGATATACAGACGGACGGACGGATAGATAGGCAGAAGGACAGACAGACAGACAGACAGACAGACAGACAGACAGACAGATAGATAGATAGATAGATAGATAGATAGATAGATAGGACAGATATACAGACAGAAGGACAGACAGATAGACAGACAGATAGGCAGAAGGACGGACAGATAGATAGATAGATAGATAGATAGATAGATAGAACAGGGTCCACCAGCTCAGCAATAGCCTACAAATGTGACATTAAAAACAGTTATGGCATATATTTGGTTGGAGTGTCACTGTCAGTGGTTTGTGTGTTGGATATTAGGATGAAACCATGCTGAATACCTCGATTTGATTTCTGTGCCACTGTTTTATTATGCAGAATCTCTTTGCCTACAGGGGCCGGTTGCATAAACTGCTTATAGTTTTAAAAAGTTAGTCATCTAATTTGTTTTCTTAAAGACTGGTCATAACTGTTTAAACTCAGTTACATAAAGGTAGATTGGCCCAATTTGACTCAGAAAAGTTAGACTAATTATCTCTTGGCTAATTGCTAGTTGGTCAAACTAGTTCTTAAGACGTCTTAACATAGTGGGTATGTTTATGCAACTGGCCCCCAGGTTTCAAGACATAGTTGCTGTTGATATAGAAGAAATAATCATTCATGACAGAAAATCACACAATGCAGCAGAGGTGTAAAGAGTACCTGAAAACCCTTCTTGAGGAGAGATACCTCACAGCGAAAATGACTCCATTAAAATCACCCATTCCAAAACGACTTGAGTAAAAGTCTTAAGAGTATCTGATTTTAACAGTACTTAAGTATTTTACTCATACTGAATGTAGGCTTAAAGATACACAAGTCCTCAACACCCAAAATAAATGCCAGTGAAAAACTAGTTCTTAAGACGTCTTAACATAGTGGGTATGTTTATGCAACTGGCCCCCAGGTTTCAAGACATAGTTGCTGTTGATATAGAAGAAATAATCATTCATGACAGAAAATCACACAATGCAGCAGAGGTGTAAAGAGTACCTGAAAACCCTTCTTGAGGAGAGATACCTCACAGCGAAAATGACTCCATTAAAATCACCCATTCCAAAACGACTTGAGTAAAAGTCTTAAGAGTATCTGATTTTAACAGTACTTAAATATTTTACTCATACTGAATGTAGGCTTAAAGATACACAAGTCCTCAACACCCAAAAGAAATGCCAGTGAAAAACAAGAAACAGTTGATTTGTGAGGAGTCAAAATAAAACTCAACACTGCAATAAATGAAGGTCGACAAAACAGCCTCTTAAATGTCTACAAACACTGACATCTCAGTTAAGCACAAGTACTGAAAAAGGGCATAAGTAAACCAATCTCCTTCAAGAAGGTCTCGACCATGTCCTCATCCCATACGAGTCAAAATCTGCAAATTAAAGTTTCATTTTCCAATAAAATATGACACATTTTTACATGATTTGTTACATTTAATGACCCCTCAGCAGATTCACAACTACCCGCTAATGCGCTTACATTTGTGTAAAGTAGCCTTGTTGACAAGTTCGGCCGAGTAAACGCGCTCAAGATCTAGTATCTTCAATGCCCTGTAGATGGCGATATCACTTCTTTTGTAGCAGAAATAAACCGCTGCAGAAAAAGTTAGGTACAATGCAAAAACCTAATGATTAATTGCATTACTCACAAATTTAGTGGAGTAAAGTGTACATATGCTCATTCATGTTGTCAAGTAGAGAGAAAAAGTTGCTAATATATTTGATACTCAGTAAAACTACAAAGTAGCCAAAGATACTCGAGTACAGTGACTAGATATGTAGGCAAATTACCTCGTTACCAGTGACTGGGCCAAGTTTTTGATCACCCAATAGGATGAGGCCAATCACTTGAAGCATGGTTCTTCACTGAAGATCATTATGAAAAATATTAAGAATTTAAAAGCAATAACAAAGCCACACAAGCTTGATAGGACTGCTGGAAGGAGAAAAAAAAAAGTATCAATGCAAGTGAATTTTTTATATGTCCACAATGAGACATGGCGATGCAGGACAATTCAAAATGTGAACATTGTGTTTGATTCACCCTGGATTCATGGATTTTAATTAGCCGATACTGCTTTATTTTCCCCTCAGGTTTATCATTTATGCAGAAAAAGACAAAAGTGTACACTACTATAAAGGACTGCATTAATGTGTATAGATTCTTGCAATCACAAAACTTTGAAAGATGCAGCACTCAGATATTAATATACTAATGCGTGCATGCGCAAGTTGACATGAACTCCGCAAAGCAATCCAGGAAGTTTTCTGTTACTTCCACTGATCTGAAAATATAAAGTTCTTCAAGCATATTTGAAACAGTTTTAATGTTGTGCAGCGATGATGATTGCGGTCACTTATGTTTAGGTTTTAAAGCCAGAGCCTCGAGATTGGCCGGGCCGCCCCATACTGTCCCAAACACACTTCTCTCCGCTTGAAGGGCTTCGTCCAGGGGAAGCTCTCTTCCGGAGACAACAACCCTCTTCACCGCCTGGATCACTGGGGCCGGGCCCTTAATGAACGGACTCAGCCACTGCTCGGCGTGAGCCAGTGCATTTCCCTCGCCAGAAGAGCAATGGAGCACCTCATCAACCAGTCCCATCTGTTTTCCAAAGTCTGGATCAACTTTTTTAGCGCCGCTCAACAGTTTCAGGGCATTCTGGCTGCCAACAATACGAACTAGTCTTGCAGCTCCTCCCCATCCAGGTACCAAACCCATGTGCTTATGGACAAACTGGATAACACCATCAGACGTCATCAACCTGGAAATGGAAATAACGTTCTGTTCCAACAGGATAATAAAGTACAACTCAAAGGGGTCATATCAGGAGGAATTAAATTTTCCCTTCATCTTTTGAGATAAACTGGCTTGTTGAAACGTACTGTAACTTTAAGAATACAAATCTCCCTCCTCGCTCCAAAAAACCTCCAAACTTTTCAAAACTCTTTTTTTGTATCTTTTGTAACATTATAGGTGGACTGCACGGAATTCAAAAAATATATAATAATAATATGACTCATTTAAACAATTCTGCATGTCAAAACTGGTGTGTCTTTGTACCTGAAGTCGCAGGCAGTGGTGAGTTCTGCTCCTCCACCCAGCGCTCTTCCCTCCACCAGTGCCACTGAGATGAGCGGCAGCCTGCCGGAAAGAACAGAAGTTTAGCTCGGATTCATCACCACAGGACACTGGAGAAATCAAACGGATCTGCACAGGTGTGAAATTAATTAGGTTATCATGTTTTCTTTGTGCATCATCATATTCTACACACTACAGACTGTAACTGTGTCCAAAATCACCCTTATGTACATTATTACACTAGAGTGCATCAATTTGTAATGCACTTTTAAAATTAAAGGTATTTATTGGCATCTATGGTTCTACGAAGAACCTTTAACATCAATGGAACCTTTCCATTGCACACTGGTTCATTACAGTGGAAAAAAAAATTCTTCAGATTATTGAAATGCTCCAAAAAAAAAAAAAAGTTCTTTAAAGAACTATTCCCTGAAAGGTTCTTTGGGAAACCAAAAATGGTTCTTCTATGGCATCACTGCAAACACCTGCCTTTTGGATCCTATATTTTTAAGAGTGCGGGGTACCGAAATCATTGTGGAAATTACTGATTGCACTTATTCAATCCCATAATGCACTGCAAAATGACTGTATGACCAATGTGCAAAATCCCTAATCCACTGTGGGGATGTTTTATTTATTTATTCTGACTGCATTGAGATCAGATCCAGAGCAGAAGGTTCCAGCAGCTCCCTGCACAATCACAGCTTTCCCTTCTGTCCAGGTCTCCAGCTCACGCACCCGCTGCTCCAGTTCAAGCATCATGCTGCCTGAAAAAACACATGTAAACCAACAGAATTAAATTATGAAGGCAATTCATCATTTGGCATGTTTTTTTATAATTGCATTTACTTTTTCAGATCTCCAGATTTTATTTTGCTGTTTAACTCCAGATCCAGACTATCAGTCTTAAAATATGAAAGTCCAGAAAAACACGAATTACTACGTTTTAAAAACTAGGATATTCTCACAACAAGAATGAAATCAACATAAACCAAGTTTCACAGATTTTAATTTATAGTGTGTAAAAATACAGTTTAAAAATATAATTAGTTTTGGCCCAACAACATTTTTTTCTAATGCAAAATTTTAGATGAAATATGAAATATGTCATGCATGAAGAAAATTAAGGTAACTGTAATTTTGTCAAATTATGCAACAACCGTACTGTATTAAAGCTTTACTCAGGATAAAACCGTATATTAAAAGCTAACATAAGCAGTAGCATTTACAAATAACAGCATATCTAAAAGTATGAGACAACAACAAACAAAAAACATATGCCTACCATTAAAAGCCGTGCTTGCACAGGTTCTGCTTCTCAATCGGACTCAAACTGATAAGCGATATTAACGATGCCGTTATGCGCTGAAGTGAGGGGCGGGACGGTTAGACGCGCACTAGAGGCGGTTTAGCCAATCACAACACACTGGGCTAGCTAACCAAGAGGGGCGGGACGTTTAGACGCGCACTAGAGGCGGTTTAGCCAATCACAACACATTTTGATTGTTTTCAATCAAAAACTGTTTCTATTTCTGAGGGCGGGGCTTCATAAAAGCAGGAAATGATCAGTGCGTTTCTCAGAGAAGGGACAGAGCGGTGTGGAACAAAGGTAAATTATGTGAAAAATAATGCGTTTTTTTAAAAAAATAAGCATTAACACATGTTAGACTGCACCCCATAAACACAATCAAGCCTAGAAAAAAAACAGTGAACCACCCCTTTAAATAATAACTAATCCAGATAATGGCCCATATATGCGCAGTAAGCATGAGTACCTGAGAAGGCGTTCATGCGCGCTGGATTGTTGACCGTGAGCAGCGCAACGCCCGAGTCCCGCTGCTTCTGGAGCTCTACGGATCCTCCCGAGAAAGCCTGCAGATTTTCCCGGATTCCCTCAGCAGCAGATCCGCTCGTGTGGCTGCAGACGGCTCGGTTCTGCTGAAGGATGCTCCTCACGGCACCGCGGCACCGAGCAGCTCCACACACACTCATGCTGCTGCTGCTGCTGCTGTGTACAGTACAGAGACACGTGTGCAGTACAGGACAGTGTTTAAGCACTGCACTCACTATAATCAAACTGCAATGTAAGACTTCAAATGATTACAATAAATTAGAATGCACAGTACTTTGTCTTTTATATTGTTCTGTTTCAATGCATGTATTTTTTAATGTTTTAAAAGAGTAACGTTACTTGACCTGTCTCGAGCCGTCGGAGTAACTTTAAAAACCGTCCTGAAAGAAACAAAGTATTGATATATATATAGATCCCGCCTTACTTTCACCGCACACTCCTGAATAAAGCTACTGCTATTTGCACTCAGCGTGTTGAAGAAAATCACAAATATATAAAAGCAGACGGAATTCCCACCAGATATACCGATCGGTTTGCTCAAATTAGTTTTCTAGGCGATGCTTCAGATGCCCACAAGGGAGCGCTGTTCCCCAGTGCACTGCCTGCGTAGGCAGAGAATATACATTTAATTAAAAAGGTAGATTGCATAAAAATATATAACTATTAATCTGGTTCATTGATGGTATAAGATGTTAATATCATGGTACTCTGAGGTATTCTGCATGCTGTGTCTACAGTTCTGGTATATGGTATGCTCAAGATTGATATTCCAATAATTTATCACAGTATTTTATGAGCATATAGCCTAAAATTGAATGTCATGGCATCTGTCTGTTATAGTACATTTTGTGCATTTCAAAGTTGAATATGACATAACAAGCAATTAACCATATGATGATACTTGGACATTTCTGCAGTGAGATCAGATCATGGGAGCTGTTTGATATGACAGAATTTTTTTTAATAAACTGAGATCATATCTTTAACTTTTAGATGTTCGTTTTTAGATGTTTTAGATGAAAATACCAATGTTGCACCATGTTGTTTTTTCCTCCTCCAGACCACAGAAGCTCTGCGCCCCAATGTTCATACTATCCATCCTAAATAGTATGTGAGATTAGAACTAGATAAAAAAAAATAATACTTTGTAGACAAACTTTAAGTTGGCTTGAAAAAGTCTAGCCAGAAAGTTTGAAGTAGTTTTAAAAGCTTGAAGTTTGGAGATTTTCCGTTTTAACCAGCTTGGAGTTTAAAGTAGTTTTAAAGTTTGGAAGTTTTGAAGGCAATACAGAAAAATAGATAGATAGATGGATGGATGGATGGATGGATAGATAGATAGATTCTATCAATCTATATTAGATATAATTGATAGATTCTATGGTGTTTCTATGTGGTTGCTAGGATGTTGTTATGCGGTTGCTAGGGTACTCAGGGTGATTGCAAGGGTGTTACCATGCGGTTGCTAGGGTACTCGGGTGGTTGCTAGAGTGGGTTAGTATGCGTTTGCTAGGGTACTCAGGGTGGTTGGTAAAGTGTTCCTATGTATGTGGTTGCTAGGGTACTCAGGGTGGTTGCTAACGTGTTGCTATGCGGTTGCTAAGGTACTCAGGGTGGTTGCTAGGGTACTCAGGTGGTTGCTAGAGTGGGTTAGTATGCGGTTGCTATGGTACTCAGGGTGTTTGTTAAAGTGTTCCTATGTGGTTGCTAGGGTACTCAGGGTGGTTGCTAAGGTGTTGCTATGCGGTTGCTAAGGTACTCAGGGTGGTTGCTAGGGTGTTGCTATAGGGTTGCTAGGGTATATATCAACATTGTACCATGTTGTTTTTTTCCTCCTCCAGACCACAGAAGCTCAGTTAGTCTGGAAAGAAATGGCTTTACTCACCTTAACAACATCAGACCAATCAGATTTATGGCTCCATGTCAAGCGCTGCTGTGATTGGACACTGACCTTGTAAAGGGCTGAGACCCAGCCTTATCTGACCTTCTACCTGATGATCCAATTTAACAGCCTACAAATGCATTTCTCCACAACATCACTTAAAAATGCAAGGCATTTTCATCGGAAAACTATACGGTTTTTATAGTAGTGTATGATGGTAATTTATTAACGCAGTTTTATCTCTCATTCTGTATTCTGCACAGTTCTATGTCTATCTCAGCCTAGTTGGCATTACGGAAAAGATAGTTTTAATTATTTATTACTCAATATTTTTAGGTTATAGACCCTTAAGGTTTTAGGTTACACCATCAGACCACAGTCCTCTGCGCGCGTATTTTTATCTGGCGCCAAACAGACGTTCACGAATATAACTTCTTCGTCTGAGGAGGCAACAGTAAGCTGTCATTATTAATCACTTCATTTCATCGTTACACATTTTTTTAAAAGCTGGCGTTTTGGTTAAAAAGATTCAGAAGTGTTCAAAAGATTCAGAATCTCCACAGATTGTCGGCAGTTCAAAGGTTACGCTTAAAATGCAATTCAAGGCAAGGCAATGTGTTTTAAGGAACATTTAGCATGAAGGTACCTATGTGCATATGATATGATATAACCAGAAACAATGCTACAATATAAAGCAATGTCTAGTCAAAGTACTAAACCCAAAAGAGTGCAGGAACAAACACGTGGAGCCTTTAGATGACAGTCAAGTGTCGTCAAATTTCAGATTGCTCAGTGACAGGTCGACAGATGCTCCATCTTTCTGTCGCAGACGCCTATGTTGGGCCTCAGGCTTCCTTACAATATAAAGCAATGTCTAGTCAAAGTACTAAACCCAAAAGAGTGCAGGAACAAACACGTGGAGCCTTTAGATGACAGTCAAGTGTGGTCAAATTTCAGATTGCTCAGTGACAGGTCGACAGATGCTCCATCTTTCTGTCGCAGACGCCTATGTTGGGCCTCTGGCTTCCTGTTGGGAAAGATGTTTGAGTGAAGCGGAATAAATGTGGAGAAGGATGAGCTGATTTGCGCCTGGGGAAGGTGATCTTTGTCCTGGCATGTCGGCTAAGGTTTTCTGACAGGATGCTGCAGCTGCGAAAACATTAAAATTCTGTATGCCACTAAAGAGAGCAAGGTTGGAGTCTAAATGTCTACCCTAGCTGACTAAAATAGAGTTTTAGATCCAGGGAGGTGAAGTACAAAGCAAATTCAGTATGCAAAATGAACTGTACTTTGGACATTGTATTCAAAGTGGCGTTTTAGGGGATATTGGGAAAAGGTTTAGCAGAAAAGCGGGTTTAGTCCTCATTTAATAGTGTATTTCTAGTGCATGTGCATGTCTTTAATCCAAAATATTCTTCTACTTTTATTTACAAAACATAGATGTTCTAGAGTTTTGTCTTGCTGTTATTTCATGGTATCACATAGAAATAAGGTGAAATTACTTTACAGCCAGGGGTTAATGCTGTAAGTGTCCATTGTGTCTTCATTCATTCTCAAAGCAAGGCATTTACTTAAAATAATTAAGTAAATTAATTAAATGCAAAAAAGTTCTTTGAACACCTTTTTTTTTTTTTACTTTGATTATTACCATCTACACTACAGTAGCTCCAGACAAGACCAAAAACAGATTATGAATAAAACACATCTACGTCTAGAAACGAGTGTCATTATTTTATTTTATAAATGCTGAATACAGTTTCATTTGTGATATTAATTATCAAGAAAAGGGACTGCGAAGGCATTGTCTAATGATATGTCTTACATCAGATAAGCACGTAAACTGAGCACAGAATCCATTAGTTTCTGTAATTACACGAGTCAATCGTTTTGGTTAAAGTTGGTGAAAGTATAACAAAGGGTTTGATGTGAAACAGCCTTTGATATTCTCAATCAGACATCAGACCTCACACACACACACGAGGCCACAGACAGAAAACAGGTCTACATTTGCAGCGATAAAATATAAGGATGACAGATTGAAACTGGTTTATGAAAACAGAAAACGTAATATGCACTTGTAAATCACATTGGTATAAATGAAATGTACATGTAAACCAGTCTTTGAGAAAAAAATAACAAAAAAGGCAGTTTGATTTCATGGTTATAGAAATGTAAACAACAAAATCATCACTTGGACAGTCATTGTTGGTATTAATCAGGCAACATGTACAGCTGTAAAGGCATTGGGCGTAATCTAACGGCCGTTTAGATGACAGTCTCTGTGTGAAAGATGGAGTAGGTGAGTGTTTGGGTGAAGACTGTGGGTGGTGTTGTTGTTGGTGGCGGTGAGGGAGTTGATGCAGATGATACGGACGAGTGGCTAGCCCAACGAGAGGGCAAACGTCTCTTTGCCGGACACGCAGGTCGTGAAAAGCTCTTCTTGATAGTTACAGAGGACTCTTTGCATTGCTGTCGAGACAAATATTTGTATGAAACCTCACTGGATTTAAATATTCCTGTCAACAGCACAATAACCTACATTAGCTCGGTGTGCTTTCATGTACAGATCTATCGCAGAACATGTGTGAATGAATCTAACAAGAACTGTCAGGATGATTCCATCAAATCAAATTATGCTTTGCATTAAAAAAAGAGGAGCCTTATTTTAATTATTCTCATTAATGTACTTAATGCAAACCTATAGTGTATGATACGAAGAAATTATATATATAATTTAATTTGTGAAGTAACCTAATAAATCTTATTTTGATACGACAAGAAGATTTTTATAACTGCAATACACTTTCTTGTATTTTTCTTTCGATGTCATTGCATTTAAAGGGGTCATATGACGCGATTTCAAGTTTTCCTTTCTCTTTGGAGTGTTACAAGCTCTTGGTGCATAAAGAAGATCTGTAAAGTTGCAAAGACTAAAGTCTCAAATCCAAAGAGATATTCTTTATAAAAGTTAAGAGTCAGCCACGCCTACCTAAAACGCCTCGTTCTAACACGCCCCCACATTCACGCGACTCTTTTCCCGTTTCGGGCTCTGTCTTTACATTTATTTTGAAAGATGAAGCTCGCGTTTATGGTAAGGGGCGTTACATTTCCGAGGTGTGCTTGTGGTGTTCGGCCAATCACAGTGCACTGGGTCAGCTGGCCAATCAGAGCGGACTGCGCTTGTCAAAGGAGGGGGCTTTGTTGAAAACGACGTGTTTGAGAGAGGCGGGGCATAGAGGACCTACAATAATGTACAGTATTTGAAAAATAATGTGTTTTTTGAACATTAAAGCATGTCAACATATTCTGTTA